AACGCGGTCACTATTGAGCTTCCTAAGGAGTAACTCGGTCAATGTCACTGCTACTGCCTTTGGCTCCTCCAGGCTGAAACAATAGAGGTAGGCTCATATGAGCTTGTCGGTAAATGACGAATGACTGGAAGACGTTCGAATCTCCCTATGGTATGGATCGCCATCAGCTCATGCTCAGTAAACGGACTACAGGCGCGACAGATAAATATTCTATTGTATTCCAGCGCCCAAATTGTTCAATGGATATTATAGCTAACCATCAGAAGCGATTGAATTTGTGCATTATTTCCTACCTTAGAGTACCATGGAATAAACAAGACTTGCGAAGGAGGAACTCAGAAATACTGACTCATTTTTTGAAGGTTACGAAAGCCGTACACTAAAATGTCGTAGAACAGTTGATGATTGCTCTCATAAGCCCTCAATTTATAATGAAGTAAGCCTCAGCAGTACTTCGATAATCGCCACACGCAACCACTCCCATGGACGCCGTATGGGCCCCACCGAGAGTAGAGAATAACGCGGCTGATCAAGAATTGTTTTTTTGAACGTGGAAACGGAGCATTTTCAGTCTACCAAATATTCATCTCTCCGATGCGCTGATTCCGTCCCTAAAGAAACACTACCATCGGCGTCCGTGTCTCCCTTCATATCCGCTCCTAGCTCGCGTTGCAAACAACATAGCCTTGTGTTCGAACTCCGGTTCAAACGGAATTTGTGGCCATAGATATTTAGAACCTACCGCGGAGTAAGCATAGTATTTGAGAGGTTTGATCCAATTGCATTCAGTTCGTTGCTTGGAGCTATTGAGACAGTCCATCTTGTGATTCATAAGATCAACGAGAGTACGGAGCATTGGTCCTGAAATAAAGTATTAGCCAGGTATGTACCCGTTTCAGGAAACCAGAGCGCGTCGAGTGCAGACCACACACCACAAGTGACGACGGCCTCCACAAAATGTAAATGTTTTCTGCCAATGAAATGATTAGCCTGTTGCAGTTGTATTCTATCAGTTGTCACTAATTACAACTTATCATCAATCTTATAATAATCTTATTTACCAACTACTACCAGTAACTCATTCATCACTATGAATCACTAGTTACCAGAATTACTTGGACGCCGTCGTCCACTTGTAGTGTGTGGTCGGCATTCTACGCGCTTCTGTTTTTCCGAAACAGATGGTGGAACTGTTGATGAACCACGGCCAAGACTGGGGGGACTTTTTTTATGATAAAGGCGAAATTTGCATTTGTGTTCAATAAAAATAAGAATCGTTGAAATTATCGATATGTGGGTTACCAAAACTTTCAAACTAACCCCCTCTCAAACGGATCAACTCCGGCACGTATGGGTCTCCAATGCCATAAGTGTACTCGTTGACAAAGGAAGTGAGATTGCGAAGTCGCTTTGAGACCTCGTGGGTCATCCATTTTGGCTGGCTCATATTGTAGATCGTCTGAAAAGTAAAAATAAACCTTAACTAAATAAGATTAACATAAAGATGCGTCTGAAAATCGCCGAAAGTGAAGAATAGGCTTTTAGAGATTTTTCATCACCACAACTCATATTATACCTCAATATGATGCACATCGTTAATGAGGTAGATAATTGGGAGCTCAACCTTCATTCCTGTATACTTCGAAAGATACTCGAGGAAATCCTGAAAAAGGAAGCTCATATTCTTCCGCGGTTTTGAAATGAAGTTCTTGTGACCAATCCTTGCCTTGTTGTCTTCAGCGATCTGCTTGGAAATTCTTTAACTATTTCGTAATTCATCATCCAACCTGTACGAGCTTCGAGACAATGGAGTGCCAAGACGTTCCGCCCAAGCTCTAAACACTAAACGGGCAGTTACTCACGGTTTGAAAGGAGAGCAGCCCGAGACTCACATGATCTTCGTCAGTTGGGAGAGTGTGAACTGGAACTGGAGTCCAACCAGTAGGCCAGCTGAAAAACTAGTCTCTCGGAAAAGAACGTGCATAACCCAAACTGGTTTTCTCCGATCCATCATGAAGGTGTCTATGATTCGGTATTGAAGTGTTATTGTTAGTATACCTAGCAAGAAGGCGATAAGAATGTTAGGTGGTGAGAAAGCCACAAGCGGCCATCAAAACAAGAAATTTGGCGCTTGTGAGGTCACACCTGGTATGTCGAAGAGACACAACGCTACGAGGAGTGAGAAAACGCGAGAGAGCATGTTGTACGCGAGCGTGCAGACGTCGTACACGGCGATTTATTTAAGGATGACAGCAAGGCAGCACACAAGGCAAGGCCTTAGCACCGTTACCTTGCACTTTGAGTCGCGACTTCTGTGTTGGAGACCCTCTTTCTCACTGAAACAGGAACTCGGCACCTAATCCCAACCTGTGTTTTGAGCATGGTCATAGCCTGTTAGCATCTTGGTAGTGTTTCGGCGCAGCAAAAGCCAACATCACAATTGCTCGGTCGCAGCATGGCTGTTTCACAATAATCCAGTATTCAGTTCTCAGAAAGAAGAAGGTCGTTCAATGCGAATCGCGTGTGCTTCACTTTTACTGAACTGTTCCAGTAGGGCCGAAAAAGACGGAAAAAATTTGCTAGCGATTCAATGTCAAATTAGGCACTGTAAGTGGGCGGTCACATGTTGGAGCTAAATGATGCTGAACTTCAACTTATAAAATTTCGCAAGTGGAAGTCGATCCACGAATCGGCCTCCCAGCGCATAAGTAAGGATTGGGCAAAAGACACGTAATGAGGCTCCCTGTGAATTTTTTGATCTCAGCGTTCAAAAGAATGAGTTAGAAGCGTTCACATCTACAACAATTTTCAACTCATGGCAATGTCCTTCATGTTACCTGCGGAATGCTTCTTACTTCTTCTACTCATTTTCACAGTTTGCCATTGTGGTATCATTGCTGTTTTCTGGGCACTACAAATTGGAAAGGAAACGTTTTCAGAGTAGTGGCTGACTCACGACATTTATCACCTTGAAATGAGCATTATGGACCAGTTGAAATGAAAGTCCCAAATACCAAGTGTTACAATAATCATTGATGTCACGAAGGTGAAAGCTGAAATTCGTAGAGGTAGTAGTTGTCTTCAGACCGACCACATTCGGGAATACAGAAAGTGCTCAATGGAGGATTCCGCGTTGATGTCGAAAATCGAAGAAGAATAACGTACCCAGTGGAAAGGAGGTAAGCAAACCAGCCCTCTCGGCGCTACTGCTGAGGCCGTATGCTGAATGGGGTCTTCGAGCAGGGTCAACCCTGCGTTGCGCAAAGAACAACGAGGGGGTCGTATTCAGCCGACCGAAAAGGGAGGGGGTCGTATCCACAGACGGGCTGCAAGACGGCTTGAAAAGTGCAGTGTCCGGGAGTGCACTTTCAGCCTCTAATGTTCTCCAGGAGCTCTGCACGCTGTCGGAGAGTCACACAGACATGAGCTTCATGGGAAAACAGAAGACTTCAAAATGCGAGTGCGAACTCTGCCCACAGATAGGTGCACGGCGTATACCCGAGGCGTTTTCCCGTAAAAACGCCTCCTCTGTCAGCGGCCGTAAGCAGACAAACTTTCTGAAGAGAGTTTCGATGCTTTCAAATAAAATCTAAGCGAAACAAAGTGTAGCGAATTTGCTGAATTGAGTTCTAGAGACGCCGTAGGAAAATTGAGGCAGAAGAAAAAATTTCAGGAAATTTCACAGTTGTTATGAAGTACTCTTCGAGTGGATTCCAACAATCTTTACCGCTTCTCATCACATTAATTTTGAAGGAAGTTATGGGCCTTTGAAGACTGCATAGTCGCGGTCCAGGAAAATGGCTTGAAAAAATCAAGGTGGAAAAAACGGAACAACGGGACTATTTTTTGAGCGAGTGATTATTTAAAAAGTTTTAGCACTTATTCGAAAGCTCTAATCTTCTAGTTTCTAATTAGCCTTAGACATCTGCAAAAAGTTGAGTATGAAGAAAGTTATGAAT